AAAAAGGATAAAGCTCTCGGCGTTGATCAATCCCTGAGGGATGCGCCTGCATTCGACTTCAATTTTTAACTTCGTTTGAGGTGATTGAATGCATATCTGGCCTTTACAATGACTCGCGGTGGCCTCCCGCTGAACCGAGTCAGTGCTGCTTATCCTCCCAGACAAGTCTGAGACCGGTCTGGTACCAATTTACCGACCCCGGAGGGATGGATGGCTTGGTGAGCCATGAGCGCGAGATCGAACCATTGACCTCGTGTGCGACGCAGGGCACCTCTAACCACTGCGCCACATGCGCTCGTACATATATACGTATATATATGTATATAAAAATGTATACATACAGACGTATATATGTACATATGCATGCATATACATATACATATATAGTATATATATATATATATGTATATATATATATACATATGTATATATATGCATATGCACATATGTTCGATATCACTGAGTAAAATGCAAAACTTTGAAACTCAGTCGGAAATCCAACCCGTGTCTGATCTTTTATGAGGACGCGTCGTAACCACTGCACTACCAGAACTGCTCTGCTACCACTCTCTTTGCGACACAAAGTATCAATCTCTCAGCGACCAACCGTCAACGGCTTGACAGGGCAGACACTTTTCGGCATTAAACTTAGTTACGATGATAAATACCTTGTATCTAAGAAAGAGTGATAAGAGAACAGGAGTCTCGGTAGTGCAGATGATTAGCACGCACCCTCGGAAAGGGTGAAATACCGGTTCGATTCTCGCTTGAGGTTCAAATTTTTGCATATCTCTCAGCATTATTCGTATATTTGTAGAATTACACCACTGGAAAAGCGTTAGATAGAATCGTTCCTGGTTACAACAATGTTCAAACCTCTTTTAAATATCCGTTACTGGAAACAATTTGATCATCATAAGCTGCTCTCTTCTTTGGATTTCGCAGGCAATCATAAGCTTCTTTCACCTAAATCATAGAAAAAAATGTTAGAAACAGTGAGACCTGCTGAAGAAATCATGAAGAAAAGCACATAATCGCTACGAAAATACAAAATAAACGATTTGATACCTAAATAAAAAGCGTGAATACCTCACTTCCATGAATAGCTCAGTGTCGGAGCTTCGACTCCATCCCACACGGCTATCCTGAGTCTTTGACTTCCGATCTGGATGGAGCTGAATTATTTATGAGTTTTTTCTTCAAATCGACAGTTATATCTTAGTCTTTAATCATTTATATAGATACAGGACGATTACGAGGGGGTACAGCGCAGTGGTTAGTGATGTGGTGTGTCAGAAACATGGCGAGCAAAGCCCTGGTTCGATCCCCTTCCCCACACTTTTTTTGCAATCAATCACCTCATCACGGGTTCCGCTAAGATTGCACGAACCATCGTCTCAAACAGAATTAAAAAGACAGAAGATATGGAACCCACTCACCTCGGCTGACTTTTTTGCAAAAGCGGCTTTGATTTCCTCTAAGGACGCATTCGATTTCACTCCAAGGATCTCATAATAATTCAATTTCCTGGAAATAATCACAAAAATACATTAATTCACTGACAATTCCCTGTTGGTTGCGGCCGAGTGACCGAGTGGCTAGTTGCTCAGGGCGGCTTGATGCGGGGTTCATTCCCCATCTCGTCCCCCAATCTGATCTACCGAAAAGCGGGATGCACTTCACAAAATCACTCACTTTGGAAGATAAGACACACCTCGTCGTGACAATATCGTTGCGCAGCGCCTTGCCATGAACAACATAATCACATTAGTGAAAGCACTTCCCCATACAAGAATGAAGACAATCTAGAAGAATAAAGCTGAACTTAACCCTTTCGGGACCGTAAACCCACCACCTCTGCATCTCTGGACCCCAGCATGGCATCGCTGGACGGTGTGCCCCACCTCCTCTGCATCCCTGTCCCCTAGCTGGGAACGTATTTAATGCATTATTGTATCTTTCAATTGTGTCATTGTTCTCATTTTCTTACCAATAACAACATATTTGAATATAAACATAACTTAAGAAAACAACAACATTAATACAATTGAGATAATACAATAACACATTAAATGCGCTCACACGCTGGGGTCAGAGATGCAGAGAAGTTGGAGCAGACCATCCAGCGTTGCCGTCGACGGTCAGAGATGCAGTGGAAATGGCTCCACGGTTCAGAAAAGGTTAGACCCGAGTTACGAATAAAAAAGAAAAGTAGAACCACAAAAGCCCTTATAGTGCTATAAAGCTTTAAGAACCAATAAAACCTAGGGGTTACAAAAAAGTAACAATTTTAAAAAGGAAAAAAGAAAAAAAGAAGGAAAAACAAAAAAAAACGAGACTGAAGCTGAATTAATTAGTTGGTAACAGAACGATGTAAATAAATCTGATGAAGTAAAACTTTGTACCTAGTTAGTCAAGTGGATTTTGGGGATTTCCTCAAGGATTATGATGTACTTTATCGACCTTTGGATGAGATGAACAAAAACAATAAAAACAGACAACAAAAATGATAAAAAATAAACGAAAAAAAACTCTGTTTTGAACCTGAATCACGTCGATGGCAAGGGGACAATTAAATTAATTAAAACGGAATTACGTAAATAAATGAAAAGTAATATGAATTATAATAATAAACAAAGTAATTAAAATAAATAAATTAATGAATGAAACATAATTAAAATTAAAATAAAAAATTAAAGTGTATAAATGAAAAACTTTGGTAATACGGCTTTATGGATAATGATACAATTACAATGGCAGTGATTACCTTCAAACGTACGATCTATTTGATCGAGTAGTGGACACGATAAGTAAAAACAATAGAAAGAACAAAGAGCAAAAAGAAAATGAATAATAAAAGGCTTTGACACTTTGGGGACCAGCGCTTTAAGCACGCGGAGCAGCGGCGTCGCGCCGTCGCTTGCGCGGTAGTTCTGGTAGGCGGCATCTGCACGACTAGCTGCCTGAGTGTTTCCCCACGAGACACGACGCCGCCACTACAGCAGCTGGGTGGGACTTGATGTCGCGCAGCCTGTGCAGGGTTAAAAGGGTTAAAAGTGAATAGCATAAATGACAAAGGAGTTTTTAGATTGATTGGCTGAAGTAAAACTCAGTAACTACATATTTAACCGTAATCCAGAGGATTTTTATTGGATATGTTCGATCTATTTGGTCGAGTTTTAAACACGATAAACAAAAACAATAGGGGTAAACATGGAAAAACGACAACCAGTAAACAAACGAATTAACCCTTGGAACTGGTCCATGGTTCACATCGATGCCAACCGAGTCATGTGAATGAATCGATTGAAATGAAGTCTAATAGCCGCTTACCAATTTAGACTGTCCAGGATTACCTTCGGATGCAGCCCTATACCAGTCAAGCACTGAATGCGCTCTATTCGATATTTTCGCCCCACCGAAGACCACATTTCAAAAAAACAGAGCCGAGAGCGCGAAATTTTCGTGGCCTGGCGATAGGCCAAATTTGCATCAGCCGGCCAGAGCCACGCCGAAAGATCTCCTCATCTTAAATGCTGGTTAATTTACTTGTCTTTTTTTCCGGTAGATCAAATCAAGGTTTTCCCGCCCACTTCCCTTATCTCTCGCTCTCTTTCATGCTCTGGCGAGTTGAGATTAACCTGATTTTAAACCCTACACAACCACTAGCCCGAAAAAGGTCAATAGAAAAATATTAGCTAGGCCAAAACTCCACTGATAAGCGCTAACACTCCCCCTCCCATCGTCCCGGCCTCAGACTGACAGTAAGAAAACCACGTATGAACGTCATACGGAAATCGAACCCGCTTTTCATCTTTTTCGGGACGCGTGCTAACCAATTGCGCTATCGACGCTCTTGTTCTGTCATCACTCTTTTCATTTACTTCATCACTGAGTTAACACAAAGACAGCCTCTATACTGATTCGAAAGTTTGTGAGTGCGAGACTGCTGAGCGAGATTTTTATCAAATGGCGGATTGCCAATCTGGCCATTTTTCCCATCAACTACTCCCAAAAAGTTCTAGGGAGGGATCGAACCAGCAACCCACGAGACGACATGGTGATATTCCAATTATCGGGTGGTTAATCTTCTTTCTAGAAGCAGATTAAAATTTTCTTCGTTCTCTTGATCCTCTGTTTTCCCTTTTTCTTTTTGTTTTCATTTTTCCTTCTTCTTAAACTTTCTCCTTTCTGCTTTACGAAGCAGCATGGTTTTCCTGCCACTTATTGATTAGTTTTAAATTTCAAAGGTCAAACAGATTATTCCCTTTTTCTTTTCTCTCTTCTCCCCCCTCCCCTCTTACCTTCGTTTCTTCCTTATCTCTTGTTTTCTTACTTTTTTCTTACTATTCTGTCATCTCTGTCGTGTTCTTTGATGAAATTTCTAAACTGTCAAGGTATACGGAATTTTATGAAAACGCTATATGTATTGTATCGTGCGTGAATAACTGACATAGCCCTTCAAGGACTCATATGGTACGTTTCCCGCGCAACGTCAGGTTTCACTCGGCTACTGTAATGGCGGCGTTGCGTCTCGTGGGAAAGCAGGCAGACAGGCGTGCATACACAGACATGCACATGCTGCCTGACTGCGACTGCCGCGCAAGCGACGGCGCGACGCCGCCTGCGTGTCAACGGTGGTCCACAAAGGATTAAGCTTTTCTATCTCATGAGTTCCTAGAAATAAGCTAATCTCAGCATCACTGGTCGCATCCACATTTTAAACAGAATTTCTCATACGGCGGAAAATTTATGCATTTAAAGAATTCTTACCTTCGATGTCCGCCTATCAACTCAGGGAGATAGCCCTGTCGGGACGCGGACTCACCTCCTCTGCTTCTCTAACCCTATTGAGGCAAAGCTGGGACGTCTGCTCCATCCACCACGCATCTCTAACCCCCAGCGTGGGAATGCGTTGGATATATTATTGCATTATTTCAAATTAATTACCTTTGTTATATTCCTGTCATGTAATATGTAAATTTGAATTATGTTGCTATAGTTAGGAATACAATAACACATTAATCCATAAGATCGACTGTTTTTAAATCCTCGTAATAAACATTCAAAATAATTCCAAAAAAGAATGTCTAAACCTAAACGAAGTTGGTACGCCAGGGCCATACACCGGTGTTACGGAGGTTTCGGCCTCCTCGTCAGTGACCCACGCCCCACATTAAGCCCTGCATTGCAGCAAGGAGGGAGGCGTATGTGGTGATCGCATAGTGTGCAATGACACTGGTCCATCACCACTGTTCAGTCGATGGATTTCGGCTGGTAGACTAAAATTAATCCACATGATTGACTGTTGGGGGTTCACTGACGAGGAGGCCGAAACCTCCGAAACACCGGTTTATGGTCCTGGCGCACCAACCCCGCTTAGGCTCAAAACTTTTTTTGGAATTATTTTGAATGTTTATCACTAGGTTTTAAAAACAGTCGATCACATGGATTTATTATGGTCTACCAGCCGAAATCCATCGACTGAACAGTGGTGATGGACCAGTGTCATTGTACACTATGCCATCACCACATACCACATAAGCCTCCCTCCTTGCTGCAATGCAGGGCTTAATGTGGGGCGGAGGTCACTGACGAGGAGGCCGAAACACCAGTGTAAGGCCCTGGCGTACCAACCTCGTTTAGGCTTTAGACATTGTTTTTTTGGAATTACAATAACGCAGTTGAAGAAATGGAATGCATGCAACGCGTTCGCACACTGGAGGTTAGAGATGCACAGGAGGTGGAGCAGACCGTCCAGCGTTGTCACGCTGG